TAATTGTATTTTGAAGCATGGCATTTGGTTCTTTTTTGTTTTCTTTTGACTTATATTATTCATGTAGCACTAAGGTGGTTGCTAAAATTCTCCATTGTAGATGCGCAGTCCAAAGGAAGTCGAGAAAGAACAATACCAGGAATTTTACAAGAAGACTTTTAATGAGTTCTTGGATCCCCTTGCACACATACACTTCACCACTGAGGTACTTGGAGCCACTTCGATTCTATAACTGCTAGATGTTGGTGAACTATTTTGACTTTGCCTTCTTGATTTTCAGGGTGAGGTCGAGTTCAGAAGTATTCTCTATATACCTGGAATGGCTCCTCTTAACAATGAGGAAGTGATTAATCCAAAGACAAAGAATATACGTCTGTATGTGAAGCGTGTTTTCATATCTGATGACTTTGATGGTGAACTGGTGAGTGCTATGATAGCTCAAGCAGCAAGTTGACTTTCTTGTTTCATTGTTTGAAAATTAAGCTCTAAACTTGTATATGATGTGTATTTTGTTCTGTGTGATTCATGGCAAAACATTGTTTGCATCAGGAAAGCGAAAGTCTCTTCATTTATCTCTTCCCCTCTTTTGGATTTATGTTACTGTGCATGATTGTTAAGTACATAAAGACATTCGATGGATGGACTAGGATCAGGTCGCAATTATATGTAGGATAATCAAATGAAATTTATGATAAACAACTTTTTCCAGTGGGCTTTATCTGCTATAATTGAGTCCTCCATTGCTGATAGGATTTTGTGGATTTGAAAACTTGCAGTTTCCAAGATATCTGAGCTTTGTGAAGGGTATGGTGGACTCAGATGATCTTCCTCTTAATGTCTCCAGAGAAATACTTCAGGAAAGCCGCATTGTAAGTGGAAACCATATTGCACTTGCATTAAAGATGAACCAGCTACTACTCTATTATATATAGACAGATCACCGATTCTGTAATGTTTTTGCTGTTAAATGTGTACAGAGTATCTGTGATAATGATTCATGGTATAAATATCCTGTTTCTTCTTGCTTAGGTGAGGATAATGAAGAAGCGGCTTGTAAGGAAAGCATTTGACATGATTCAGGAACTTTCTGAAAGTGAGAACAAAGAGGTCGGGATTTGATGGAAGTGTTTGAATTTTTTTTTTGGGCTTTAATTTGCTCTTGCTTGTGGGATTTCATTCAACTTGGTTGTTTATTTTAGGATTACAAGAAGTTCTGGGAGAATTTCGGTAAATTTCTGAAATTGGGCTGTATTGAGGACTCTGGAAATCACAAGAGGATAACTCCCTTGCTACGCTTTTTCTCTTCGAAAAGTGAAGAAGAGCCGATAAGCTTGGATGATTATGTGGAGAACATGGAAGAGAATCAAAAGGCTATATATTACTTGGCAACAGACAGCTTAAAGAGTGCCAAGACTGCTCCTTTCGTGGAGAAATTGGTGCAGAAGGATATTGAGGTATTTAATTGATGTTTGAAATCTTTGAATTTGATTGAAATTGACTTTGAGAGGTATCTGATAGAGTGGTGGTTGGCTGGGCCTCTTCTGTGCTGCTTTTATAAGTAGATTTTGCTCTATAGCTGTTCGCCTGGTTCCCCAAAGGATGTCTATATTGCCTTTCTATCTGTGTTTCGCCATTGTAGGTGACAGTTCTTGTGGTCTTTTCACCCACAGGTGTTATATCTAATTGAGCCAATTGATGAAGTTGCGATACAGAATCTACAGACTTACAAGGAAAAGAAGTTTGTTGATATCAGCAAGGAAGATTTGGAGCTTGGTTAGTATGCTTTTGCAGTGCGGTTTGCTGCAATTTTCTTTGTTATATTTCACACTTTGACATTATATGGACTTGGGGATTAACAGGCGATGAGGATGAAGTGAAAGAAAGAGAGACAAAGCAAGAGTACAATCTTCTTTGCGACTGGATAAAGCAACAGCTGGGAGATCAGGTTGCAAAAGTTCAAGTCTCAAAACGATTAAGCTCATCACCATGTGTGCTTGTTTCTGGCAAGTTCGGGTGGTCTGCTAATATGGAAAGGTGTGTTGTGGCTTTATCTTGATGACATTTAAACTTACAAATAAAGTTGTCTGTCTTGAAGAGATGAATTGAAGTTCTCTTTTAACTTCCTGAACAGGTTAATGAGAGCACAGACCCTTGGAGATACTGCAAGTTTAGAGTTCATGAGGGGGAGGAGAATCCTGGAGATTAATCCTGAGCATCCTATAATCAAAGACCTAAATGTAAGTTATTTCCCCTTAATCACGAATATGTATGTGAAGCTGCTGCTAATTGTAACTTATTTGAAAGTGTAATTTTTTTGGTTAACATAACCTTGTGACTGACTGACTTAAAAATGCCGAAGATTTCTGGTAGACATCTAGTATTGGCTTTCCTTATATACGGTTGCATTTTTGAAATTGTCAAGCATGCTGTGACGTTACAAGTGAGAGGATGTGGATATAGGGGGCTTAACAGCAGGCGATTTATGAGGTTCCTGTTATAACAGTGTAATTTCTGCTACTAATTTGACTTTGGCTATGCTTGTTGCAGGCCGCATGCAAAAATGCTCCCAATAGCACTGATGCCAAGAGGGTAGTGGAACTTTTATACGACACCGCATTGATCTCCAGTGGTTTCACTGTAAGTATGAAAAATTTCTTGTCTGTTGTGTGCAGCATTCATTCAATGATCTGAAATTGAGTGATGGATCTTATTACATTGTTGAAATTTGTTGGATTCCTGTCACAGCCTGATAGTCCAGCAGAGTTGGGTAACAAGATTTACGAAATGATGGCAATGGCTGTGGGAGGAAGATGGGGCAGAGCGGAAGAAGGTGAAGCTTGGGCAGGAGAGGATTCGACAGAATCAGACGCGAGCTCTTCAGAAGCCTCAGAGGCACAAGTAGTTGAACCATCTGAAGTAAGAACAGAAAGTGACCCTTGGGAGTAAACGCAGATTTCTTGCGAAGATTGGATTCTTTTTGGGTAACTGCCCTTGCAACTGTGGCATACAGAAGTTTTGGAGACGGGAGATAAATCTTACTTTGAGGACTGGCCCATTGATCGGATTACTGAATTAGATTCAGGACATTCATAGGAGTTCTTCTGTAATGCCACGGCATTTTATGACAGCCATATTTTGTTTACACAAGGTCCTACCTCGCATGCATGATTCACGACTCTCATGCTTTCCTGCAATGGATCTAACTTCCGAACAATACGCCAGATTGTTTAGCTATGTGATGCACAACAACGTTAAACAGGATTACAGGAACAAAACAATCACAGCCTATCCGCTACTAAAGCTTAAACTAGAAAACAAGAAAACTTATTTTTAAAATTAAGTGATAAGTTATTCACTTATCATTGAATATAATTTGTATTCAAATGTATTAGATTTAATATTTAATAATTTAATAAATTTTAAGTCTATCAAATGCATCCTTAATCTAGCTAAAATGATGGCTTCCATGAAAAAACAAAAAAAGAAGGTAAAGAAAAAAGGTTCTAAACTATCATCATTTGTTAACGATGGCCTTAGTCTATGATTCTAAACTATCATCTCAAGGTAGATAAACAAAAAATCAAATATAAAAATCCATACTTATTTATTTCCATATCTGGCTAGAATATGAGTGTTGATGTAAACAATCTCGTGGGATATAAATTTCACTAGAGGAGAGATAACAATAATGAACTGTTTTTTTTTTTTTTTTTTTGCCTTAATGAATTGTTAAGCTATTTTCTTTCATTATTGAATGTTTTCTAACTCTGTCATTTTTTATTAAAATTTAATAGATATTGAAAAATTGAATTTTATTTCTATTATATAAGTGGAAATCACACGCACGTTTTGACAAGTGACATAATATTTATAGGTTGGTTTCAAAATTATAAAATTGGCTTGTTAATTACACTTTTGATGTTATATGCCCATAGCCAAATTAACCTGATACTCTCTCACATTTTCACAAGAATGAGGGCAAGTTTTATAATTAATGGGACAATTGGGGGGCTTATTGTAATTTAGCATAATGAACATTTGAGGGCTAACCGAGTGAACTAATTGTACATAGGTTTTTAGCAGGGTTTAAGGGCGCAAGGCGGCTTCTTTCCCTTCTCCTCCTCCGTCGAGGGCCTTCCCCTTTTCTCTTGATTTCGCTCTGCTTAATCCTATTTCTTTTTGTTTTTCCTCAATTCATTTTCTCAACCTCAAATCATTAGCTTACTAAATACTTGACTATTAATGTCTGTTTTTAGCACCCTTAGAATCGGTCACTGATTCAGCTTTCCTGCGCAAGATTTTTTTTTTTTTTTGGCCTGATAATTTAATCCACTGAATATGTGGAGAAATATAACAAAACAAGCATCGTTGAGAAATTTCAAGTTTTCCTCGAAAACCCATTTCTTCTCACCACCATTTGCCTCCAAAATCTTTCTCCAAGATGATAGCTTTAATGGAAAAACCCGGACTTATAGCAGTGATAGTGGGCTGAATTCTCAAAATCAAGAAGTTGGTTTTCATCAAACTTCAGTCTTGAAGCAGAAGAATAAAGAGGGTCATCGAAAATTTGGGATTTTGAGTGACCCTTGTGGATTTGGAGTATCTGGGGGTTTAAGGGGTTATGCTAGTGCTGCTGCTGAGGCTATTATTTCCACTTCTGAGGAAGATGTGGATGAAGTTCAAGAATTGGTTGAGGAAATGGAAAGGCAAAACAAGGCAATGGAGGCGAGCTTTCAGCAACAAAAGCAGCAAAAAATGGTGGGAGGAATGGGGATGGGGAAGTACCATATTCTTAGGAAAAGGCAGGTGAAGATAGAAACTGAGGCTTGGGAACAGGCAGCAAAAGAGTATCAGGAGCTTTTGGAGGATATGTGTGAGCAAAAACTCGCCCCAAATTTGCCATATATAAAGTCACTGTTTTTAGGTTGGTTTGAGCCATTAAAGGATGCCATTGCTGCTGAGCAAGATTTGTGCAAGGATGGGAAGAACCGAGGAGCTTATGCCCAGTATTTTGATCAGTTGCCTGCTGAAATGATGGCCGTTATTACAATGCATAAGCTAATGGGACTGTTGATGACCGGGGGAGGATATGGCAGTGCTAGAGTGGTACAAGCTGCCTGCCATATTGGTGAAGCCATTGAGCATGAGGTTGGTCACTTCACGATTCTGATTTTGTTTTCATTTTTATATCTTTTGCCTCTTTTTGACTTTTTAGTTGAATGTTAGAGTTTTCCCCCGTTTTCAGATTCAGTTTGTTTGGTTTAGAGGTAACTTTGACATGCTTTCTAGTCAAGTTGGAAGTGGGAAATGTGTATTTTGTAGATGTACCATTGTAGTAATCTATGCATATATTTTGATGAGACCTGCCAATTCATAAAGATAAATAGAAAATTCCTAGGCTGACATATCCAAATGGTATTTGTACCAAGCTGACATCATGTATTTTAAGCAGAAAACTATCAGAACGTCTTGGAGAGCATTTTGACATCGATATATAAGCAAGCTGTGATCTTTCAATGGTTGAAGTCTTATGCATTCATAAACTAGCACAAGTAAATATTTAGGTTCTATTGGGCCTCTAAAGTAGGAAAAATACGAAAGCTTCAACTGTAGTTGATCTATTTAAAGAGAGTTTTTTGCTGTTTTTAAGTGTAATTGCTGTTTAGGTGGCCAATTCTGAGACAAATATTTAGCTGTTTGAGATGGCATTTTACTTTTGGCTGGGCCACTTGAAATAGGTTTTACCAGATTGCTCTTAGTAAATCCTAGTGGATTATGGATTTCATATCTTGGTTCTCTGAATGTTCTTCTCTTGTATATGAGCTAAGAATATCAAATGCTTATGGCAACAATATTATGCAATTAATTGTTTTACTTGCTCATGACACAGTTGATCCTTGAGATTATATCAGGTGGATAATCCAAGACATTTTGTAGATCTAATGTAAACCAGCTTATAAGATAATGTAGTACAAAAAGATTAGAAACATAAGGAACAAAAAGATCCAGTCTTGTTCATTACAAATTCCTTCTTTTTAATTCACTCTGCATGCCCATCATGTGATGGTTTCTTTCCAATTTCTGTACCTATCTCCATGAATGTGTACCTGCCATGGGAAAAGGGACAAAACTAACAATCTGATGAATCGAATCAGACACTAACTCGAGTCAGAATGTGCTGTTTGTGATTGTTTCATAGGTTCCTTATCATGGTATCCTTTCTTGGTCAGGTTAGAATACACAAGTTTCTGGAGAAGACCAAACGGAAGAATGCAATGAATAAGAATCCTGAGAAAGAAACTGAACCAGTGGCTAAGGCAGAAGATAGACTAAGGAAAAAGGTCAATGTTCTGATGAAAAAGCAGAAGCTTCATCAAGTAAGGGAGATAGTAAAACATCATGATGCTTCAAAGCCCTGGGGGCAGGATGCTCAAGTTAAGGTGTGTACTTATTTCTGTTTTGAATTATTATTAGCATCATCATTGGTCCTTATTATATCAACAGCTATTGTTGTTACTATTGTGGTCAGTGAATGCTTAGATGATTGTAAATTTTCAAATCAATTGTGCAGGTTGGATGCCGTTTGATTCAGATTATGATGGAAACAGCCTACATACAGCCTCCAGTCGATCAGTTTGAAGATGGTCCACCTGATATTCGACCTGCATTTGTTCACACACTTAAGACTGTTGAAACACAGTGAGTGGAACCTGACCTATTCTTAAAGATGTTAATTTCTCTCTTCCATTACATTATATGCTCCTCTTATCTTAAATAGCCACTGCATACTTCCGGTGCCCTGTTTTATGATATTGCGCGGTCTCCTTTTTAACAGGAGGGGCAGCAGGAGATATGGGGTGATTGAGTGTGACCCTCTAGTAAGGAAGGGCCTGGAGAGAACAGTAAGTACTATAGATTCTGCCTCTAATTGTTTTGCATGGACCTAACTGAACTTAAATTCTTAAGGCAGTGTCCAAATACCAAAAGTTTGCTGTTTGTTAACACCTTATGCATCTTGTAAGTGTTGTGTGGTTTATTATTATATTTTTTTGGGCTTGTATCTAATTGCTGACAAACAAAAATATTTCTGATTTCTACTGTTTGAACAGGCTAAGCACATGGTGATTCCATATATGCCAATGCTGGTCCCTCCCCTGAACTGGACAGGGTATGATATTCTTGCATCCCATTCGTCAAACTTCAATTTGCTATTCAAGATTTACTTGCTTCAGTGTGTGTGTCCATTCATTCTTCGATTAACTGTTCTTTTTTTTGTTTATAATTTTTCTCCGCTATTAAAAAGAACATTTCCATTCGCATTTTTTATATGAAGTTTATTCAACTGAAATTCAAGAGCAGACTTGAGTAATTAAAATCAGATGCATTTACGCTGTTCAGATTGTTGGGTTCTGTTAATCGTTGAGCTTTTGTTACCCCTTTCTTTGTGCTTCATTCTTTTTTGCCTTTTTGGGGTAACAACTACCTCTTGCTGATGTATTCAGAGCCATTACCTCGTCTGAGGGCATGTCTGCCCATAAATTAGTGTTATGTACTCTTAGTTTTTTGGGTGAGTGGGTTTTTTTTTTTTTTTTTTTTGGTTTTGGTTTTTTGGGGGGGGGAGGGGGGGTTTGGAGGGGATTCCAAATATAGCCCTTTACTTTCTTCCTTTTTCAACATCACTGGTTACTGGGGACTAAAGCGGGTGATTAACTTTTCAGAATGATAGTTGTTTATGAATTTTTAAGTGTTGAGTGACTAAAAGAACTCTTTACTTGCCTGCACTGATCTTTATAATTTTGGCAGGTATGACAGAGGTGCTTATTTGTTTTTGCCTTCCTATATCATGCGTACACATGGAGCAAAACAACAGCGAGAGGCTCTTAGGAGATGTCCAAAACAGCAACTAGAACCAGTTTTCCAGGTTTGCTGAGATTAAATTTTCTTCCTTTTCTGGCTAATTGCATTTTTGTCCTAATCCTTCACTGTTGTCATCTTGCTTAGATGTCGGCATTTTGGTGTGATTTATGTCACAAAAATTTGGAGTTCATGCTTCTGACAGATTTTTAAGATGTTCTTATTTGTATGCCATTTTCATGCTTCATTTTATATTGGTAAATTACATAAAGAAAATGCATTTCACGCTTTTCTATCACTTTTGAGGTTTTTATGTGAGATGTCTATTGCCTATGATATAAGAGTTCACTACGGCGATTTCAGTTTCTGATTGGATTTTTTTTTTTTTCGGTTTGGCCAACCAGAAGTGAAAATTCAGATTTTTCTGCATGTGAAGGATTGGTGCTCAAAAAGTACATAGATGTAGATTACTGTCCATCACCAGAACATTTCCTCTTTATTGATGAGTGAAGTATGTAAAAAGTGTATGCGATTCAACTACAGTATTTAAATCTAAAATTTTTCCGCACCACTTCAATCACATATACTACTACCATTTTAGGATTTTTAGAAGAATTCAGTAACGAAAAATTCTTATTATTAAAACTAAGATAAATATGCCACTGACATCAATAAAGCCAAAGCAACAGAATGACACTTGGTTTATTTGGGAACTGCTAGTTGTTTACTGATGAACTCTAGCGAGAAGCATTTTGTAGCTGTTGTATATTAAGTTCTATGTTGAAACTTATTTTGAGACAAGTATCGTCTATTCACTCATATGTTTATTATTCCATATTTCTGTGGTTCAGGCGCTTGACACACTTGGAAGTACAAAATGGAGAGTTAATAAAAGGGTGCTTGGTGTCATAGACAGAATTTGGGCCAGCGGTGGCCGTCTTGCAGATTTAGTTGACCGTGACGATGTGGGTATCCCTGCAGTAATTTTAATTTTGTTCTTTTGTTTCTTCTTTCTTTGATGGATGCAAGAGAAAACTTATAGAAGCAGAAAGCACTCCTTGCATGTTGATAGTAGAAGGTCGGCTCATGAACAAAACAATTCCCTACTCACTGAGATGGACTCATGAATAATGGATGATATACTGTAGACAAAACGATCTTTATAAAGCATTTTTGATGTTTCATTAGGATTCCAAATTTATATATGTCTAAAAACGTATACATGGACGTGAAATTAAAGACATCAATTCTAGAAGCAGTATGCAAGCTGGATGGATAACTAATTTTCTGTAACTATGTCACATCTTTAGCGAAACCTTTGTTACTTATTTGTTTTCCTTATAGTAGAATTGTTTTTTCTGTTGTCATTCTTATCTATCCTTTACTTGTTACACGAAATATTGAACTATGTTCTAGCTCATTTGTTCAGTATACTTGCATCAAATGTGTTACGTCGCTATACTCATCTCTAAAATGTTAAATCTTGTGGGATAATAAGTATCAGATGCATGTCTCTCACTCTCAGTCTTGAGACATTTTTTTATTGCAAATTTAGATCCCTTTGCCAGAAGAGCCAGACACCGAAGATGAAAGAGAAATCAGGAAATGGAAGTGGAAAGTTAATAATGTGAAAAAAGAGAACAGTGAGAGGCATTCGCAGCGGTGTGATATAGAACTTAAGCTTGCTGTAAGAACCTCTCTCTTAGATGTAATATGATACCGTTTTCAGTTAGACGATATCAAACTAATTTTTCTACTTATGCGAGCAGGTTGCTCGGAAAATGAAGGATGAGGAGGGCTTCTTTTATCCACACAATCTTGATTTCCGAGGCCGTGCATATCCCATGCACCCACATTTGAACCATCTTGGGTCTGATCTATGCCGTGGAATCCTTGAATTTGCAGAGGGGCGTCCACTTGGAAACTCAGGCTTGAACTGGTTGAAAATACATTTGGCAAATGTTTATGGTGGTGGTGTGGACAAGTTATCTCATGAAGGTCGTGCAGCATTTGCCGAAAACCATTTGGAGGACATATTTGATTCTGCAGACAGGCCTCTTGAAGGAAGGCGTTGGTGGTTGAATGCAGAGGATTCCTTTCAGTGCTTAGCAACATGCATGAATCTCTCTGAAGCATTGAGAAGTCCCTCTCCAGAGACTACCATGTCACACTTGCCTATCCACCAGGTATAAGACTTTATTTAAAGCTTCACTTCATGTGCATTTTCATCCTGAGAAAGGACATATTCTGAAGGTGTATTTTCTTTCATGCTATGAATGTGGTTACTTGAAAAACCTTACACAACTCATAAAGGTCAATAGATTGTGCAGAAAGACAAAATTTGAAGTATTTATACTTCTTAATAGATGGATGCAGAGGAATATCTGTCTATCCCTTTTCTAGTTGGTCAAGTCTTTCTGCTTTAAGATCGAGTTCTGGAACATTGGCAAATTGCCCAGCGAACAGCGTAACGCATTTGAATATGCAAGACTGACTGCACTTATTCCTCTCAAGCTAACTTGATGGATGCTTAGTCCCAAACCATGGGTAGTCCATCACCTATGATGAAATATCCCAAAATGCTTTTATTTTGTTTGCTTATTACATTTTTGAATGATGGAAATTGACATTGATTTTGAATTGAAATAAATGTCCAATTTGATCTGACTTTTTTGTTTGATACTATTTCCCTAAAGGATGGTTCATGCAATGGCCTGCAACATTATGCTGCTCTTGGAAGGGATAAGGTAACACATTTCTTGCCACTGCTTGTTTACATGTATTAGATAATATATAATCCACATTGGCCAGAGTGTGCAACCCAGCTGCAAAAAAGTTTAAATATCATTCAGTTGCTGATGTTGATGCTGGGGTTCAGGTTGTGTGTGTATTTTGCCTCTTTTTTTATAATTACCTATACCCAAGTTGCACCCTTCGAAGTTATAGGCATTTTTAAACCAGTATTACAATAACTCATTAGCAAGTCGAGAGATCACTGAGGTTATTTGGTATGTATGACATGTCCTAAACTGTTTTATCTAGGGTTACTCTTGCTCAAATAGATATGTTGGACTAAAAGGGATTGAGTAGAAATTTGAAGAGACTGTTGATGGATATGACTGAGCTAGGCTATTAGTTTATTTGCGACATTATTTTGTGAATGTCTTCATTTGTGTCATACAATTGATTATGATAGGTGAGGTTCATAAATGGTTGAGTTAAACTGTTGCTTAATGGAAGTGGTAAATTTGATTCCTTGAACTAACCTAACCCCTGGTGATGGATCCACAATTTGCATAAAAAAGATATATAATAGAGAAGTATTTCCAGCTTCTCAAGATCTTCATATCTTAGCAGACTTGATATAAAAGTAAACAGTCTAATGAAGTTCTATTTCGGATATTTGATTTCAGCAACTTCTTACTTCATCCTGTAACTCTATGATGTTTAGCAGAAGATTGATAATAAATACCAGAAATTTCTGACTGGAGTTTTCTTGTTCAGTTGGGAGCGGCAGCAGTCAATCTTGTTGCTGGTGAAAAGCCTGCCGATGTTTATTCTGGAATTGCTGCTAGGTAAGCTAGATTTCTGGATTTTGTCGTTCCATTGACCTTTTTGTTTCCTTCTTTTTGAGGTTCTTAGAGGGCATTATTGGTGGATAAATGTTGTTTACCATTCTTTCTTCCTTTCTTCAATTTTGCTGAGGGTTTCTTGAGATTAAGGGTTAAAACAAACTTGTAGTATAAGTTAATTCCTGGGTTACATGGAATTACCTTATATGATAGCACTGCTCCTTGCTACAGTCAAATTAATCAAATTAACATCAGGAGAAAATTTTCGGAACAGTCATCTACTTTATCTCTCTAAATGACTATTGGCAAGGAGTAGTTTTCAAAATGACTATTGGCAAGGAGTAGTTTTCAGAGACGAAGCTTATATGTCAGACAGGCTTAAAACTACTGAGATTCTGGTCATTATTGTCTCTGCAAGCCTTTGGTTCAGCAACAAAAGCAGCAAAAAATGGTGGGAGGAATGGGGATGGGGAAGTACCATATTCTTAGGAAAAGGCAGGTGAAGATAGAAACTGAGGCTTGGGAACAGGCAGCAAAAGAGTATCAGGAGCTTTTGGAGGATATGTGTGAGCAAAAACTCGCCCCAAATTTGCCATATATAAAGTCACTGTTTTTAGGTTGGTTTGAGCCATTAAAGGATGCCATTGCTGCTGAGCAAGATTTGTGCAAGGATGGGAAGAACCGAGGAGCTTATGCCCAGTATTTTGATCAGTTGCCTGCTGAAATGATGGCCGTTATTACAATGCATAAGCTAATGGGACTGTTGATGACCGGGGGAGGATATGGCAGTGCTAGAGTGGTACAAGCTGCCTGCCATATTGGTGAAGCCATTGAGCATGAGGTTGGTCACTTCACGATTCTGATTTTGTTTTCATTTTTATATCTTTTGCCTCTTTTTGACTTTTTAGTTGAATGTTAGAGTTTTCCCCCGTTTTCAGATTCAGTTTGTTTGGTTTAGAGGTAACTTTGACATGCTTTCTAGTCAAGTTGGAAGTGGGAAATGTGTATTTTGTAGATGTACCATTGTAGTAATCTATGCATATATTTTGATGAGACCTGCCAATTCATAAAGATAAATAGAAAATTCCTAGGCTGACATATCCAAATGGTATTTGTACCAAGCTGACATCATGTATTTTAAGCAGAAAACTATCAGAACGTCTTGGAGAGCATTTTGACATCGATATATAAGCAAGCTGTGATCTTTCAATGGTTGAAGTCTTATGCATTCATAAACTAGCACAAGTAAATATTTAGGTTCTATTGGGCCTCTAAAGTAGGAAAAATACGAAAGCTTCAACTGTAGTTGATCTATTTAAAGAGAGTTTTTTGCTGTTTTTAAGTGTAATTGCTGTTTAGGTGGCCAATTCTGAGACAAATATTTAGCTGTTTGAGATGGCATTTTACTTTTGGCTGGGCCACTTGAAATAGGTTTTACCAGATTGCTCTTAGTAAATCCTAGTGGATTATGGATTTCATATCTTGGTTCTCTGAATGTTCTTCTCTTGTATATGAGCTAAGAATATCAAATGCTTATGGCAACAATATTATGCAATTAATTGTTTTACTTGCTCATGACACAGTTGATCCTTGAGATTATATCAGGTGGATAATCCAAGACATTTTGTAGATCTAATGTAAACCAGCTTATAAGATAATGTAGTACAAAAAGATTAGAAACATAAGGAACAAAAAGATCCAGTCTTGTTCATTACAAATTCCTTCTTTTTAATTCACTCTGCATGCCCATCATGTGATGGTTTCTTTCCAATTTCTGTACCTATCTCCATGAATGTGTACCTGCCATGGGAAAAGGGACAAAACTAACAATCTGATGAATCGAATCAGACACTAACTCGAGTCAGAATGTGCTGTTTGTGATTGTTTCATAGGTTCCTTATCATGGTATCCTTTCTTGGTCAGGTTAGAATACACAAGTTTCTGGAGAAGACCAAACGGAAGAATGCAATGAATAAGAATCCTGAGAAAGAAACTGAACCAGTGGCTAAGGCAGAAGATAGACTAAGGAAAAAGGTCAATGTTCTGATGAAAAAGCAGAAGCTTCATCAAGTAAGGGAGATAGTAAAACATCATGATGCTTCAAAGCCCTGGGGGCAGGATGCTCAAGTTAAGGTGTGTACTTATTTCTGTTTTGAATTATTATTAGCATCATCATTGGTCCTTATTATATCAACAGCTATTGTTGTTACTATTGTGGTCAGTGAATGCTTAGATGATTGTAAATTTTCAAATCAATTGTGCAGGTTGGATGCCGTTTGATTCAGATTATGATGGAAACAGCCTACATACAGCCTCCAGTCGATCAGTTTGAAGATGGTCCACCTGATATTCGACCTGCATTTGTTCACACACTTAAGACTGTTGAAACACAGTGAGTGGAACCTGACCTATTCTTAAAGATGTTAATTTCTCTCTTCCATTACATTATATGCTCCTCTTATCTTAAATAGCCACTGCATACTTCCGGTGCCCTGTTTTATGATATTGCGCGGTCTCCTTTTTAACAGGAGGGGCAGCAGGAGATATGGGGTGATTGAGTGTGACCCTCTAGTAAGGAAGGGCCTGGAGAGAACAGTAAGTACTATAGATTCTGCCTCTAATTGTTTTGCATGGACCTAACTGAACTTAAATTCTTAAGGCAGTGTCCAAATACCAAAAGTTTGCTGTTTGTTAACACCTTATGCATCTTGTAAGTGTTGTGTGGTTTATTATTATATTTTTTTGGGCTTGTATCTAATTGCTGACAAACAAAAATATTTCTGATTTCTACTGTTTGAACAGGCTAAGCACATGGTGATTCCATATATGCCAATGCTGGTCCCTCCCCTGAACTGGACAGGGTATGATATTCTTGCATCCCATTCGTCAAACTTCAATTTGCTATTCAAGATTTACTTGCTTCAGTGTGTGTGTCCATTCATTCTTCGATTAACTGTTCTTTTTTTTGTTTATAATTTTTCTCCGCTATTAAAAAGAACATTTCCATTCGCATTTTTTATATGAAGTTTATTCAACTGAAATTCAAGAGCAGACTTGAGTAATTAAAATCAGATGCATTTACGCTGTTCAGATTGTTGGGTTCTGTTAATCGTTGAGCTTTTGTTACCCCTTTCTTTGTGCTTCATTCTTTTTTGCCTTTTTGGGGTAACAACTACCTCTTGCTGATGTATTCAGAGCCATTACCTCGTCTGAGGGCATGTCTGCCCATAAATTAGTGTTATGTACTCTTAGTTTTTTGGGTGAGTGGGTTTTTTTTTTTTTTTTTTTTGGTTTTGGTTTTGGGGGGGGGAGGGGGCGTTTTGGAGGGGATTCCAAATATAGCCCTTTACTTTCTTCCTTTTTCAACATCACTGGTTACTGGGGACTAAAGCGGGTGATTAACTTTTCAGAATGATAGTTGTTTATGAATTTTTAAGTGTTGAGTGACTAAAAGAACTCTTTACTTGCCTGCACTGATCTTTATAATTTTGGCAGGTATGACAGAGGTGCTTATTTGTTTTTGCCTTCCTATATCATGCGTACACATGGAGCAAAACAACAGCGAGAGGCTCTTAGGAGATGTCCAAAACAGCAACTAGAACCAGTTTTCCAGGTTTGCTGAGATTAAATTTTCTTCCTTTTCTGGCTAATTGCATTTTTGTCCTAATCCTTCACTGTTGTCATCTTGCTTAGATGTCGGCATTTTGGTGTGATTTATGTCACAAAAATTTGGAGTTCATGCTTCTGACAGATTTTTAAGATGTTCTTATTTGTATGCCATTTTCATGCTTCATTTTATATTGGTAAATTACATAAAGAAAATGCATTTCACGCTTTTCTATCACTTTTGAGGTTTTTATGTGAGATGTCTATTGCCTATGATATAAGAGTTCACTACGGCGATTTCAGTTTCTGATTGGATTTTTTTTTTTTTCGGTTTGGCCAACCAGAAGTGAAAATTCAGATTTTTCTGCATGTGAAGGATTGGTGCTCAAAAAGTACATAGATGTAGATTACTGTCCATCACCAGAACATTTCCTCTTTATTGATGAGTGAAGTATGTAAAAAGTGTATGCGATTCAACTACAGTATTTAAATCTAAAATTTTTCCGCACCACTTCAATCACATATACTACTACCATTTTAGGATTTTTAGAAGAATTCAGTAACGAAAAATTCTTATTATTAAAACTAAGATAAATATGCCACTGACATCAATAAAGCCAAAGCAACAGAATGACACTTGGTTTATTTGGGAACTGCTAGTTGTTTACTGATGAACTCTAGCGAGAAGCATTTTGTAGCTGTTGTATATTAAGTTCTATGTTGAAACTTATTTTGAGACAAGTATCGTCTATTCACTCATATGTTTATTATTCCATATTTCTGTGGTTCAGGCGCTTGACACACTTGGAAGTACAAAATGGAGAGTTAATAAAAGGGTGCTTGGTGTCATAGACAGAATTTGGGCCAGCGGTGGCCGTCTTGCAGATTTAGTTGACCGTGACGATGTGGGTATCCCTGCAGTAATTTTAATTTTGTTCTTTTGTTTCTTCTTTCTTTGATGGATGCAAGAGAAAACTTATAGAAGCAGAAAGCACTCCTTGCATGTTGATAGTAGAAGGTCGGCTCATGAACAAAACAATTCCCTACTCACTGAGATGGACTCATGAATAATGGATGATATACTGTAGACAAAACGATCTTTATAAAGCATTTTTGATGTTTCATTAGGATTCCAAATTTATATATGTCTAAAAACGTATACATGGACGTGAAATTAAAGACATCAATTCTAGAAGCAGTATGCAAGCTGGATGGATAACTAATTTTCTGTAACTATGTCACATCTTTAGCGAAACCTTTGTTACTTATTTGTTTTCCTTATAGTAGAATTGTTTTTTCTGTTGTCATTCTTATCTATCCTTTACTTGTTACACGAAATATTGAACTATGTTCTAGCTCATTTGTTCAGTATACTTGCATCAAATGTGTTACGTCGCTATACTCATCTCTAAAATG